CTTTCCAATCTGTCCACAACGAACTAGGCGTCGCCGCCGTCCTGCTCATCACCTACATATATATAGAGGGGTGAGTACAAATACTCAGTGAATGGTACTAAAAATAAAGGTTTTGCATGAATAAAGCCGAGCTGAGAATTTACTGAAAAATTTACAGTTTAATTTACTGAGAATTTACTTGGAATTTAATGTGAATTTACTAGGAATTTACTTAGAATTTAATAGTAATTTGTAGAGTAATTTACGGAGAATTTAGGGGGAATTTGGCCCGTAATTTTTTGATAATTTATACGAAATTTACTGAGTATTTTACTGAGAATATACTAGGAATTTTCCCATTAATTTAATGGGAATTTCTGGGAATTTACTCAGTAAATTACTTAGAATTTGCTGGAAATTTACTGAGTAATTTGCTTAGAATATACTGGGAATTTTGTCACGACCCCAAACCGCCCCTAGTAGTTTGGTGCCGTGATGGCCAGTAATCCGTAATTACCGAAGGCCAACTTTCAAAAACTTAACACAATCAGAGTATAATAATCGGGGCTAACCAATGCGGAAGCAATAATATAAAATACGAACGGTCCATAAGAGCTGTGCGTAGATCAAAAGCAATGCCAAACATTTCCAATTAACTTACAACTTGAATACAACAAGATAAAATACATGCTACATCTTGATCAAAAGGCTTCTCGAGCCGATATATACAAAAGATACAACGAATACAAGTCAAGAAGCATGATTTTCAAGATTTGCCGACATGTAAAACAGGGCACTGCCGACGTAAATACAAAAGTAAGGCCGACATATACACGAATCCAAAACAAGCATCCAAAACGAACTAGGCGTCGCCGCCGTCCTGCTCACCACCTACATATATATAGAGGGGTGAGTACAAAACTCAGTGAATGGTACTAAAAATAAAGGTTTTGCATGAATATAGCCGAGGTCCTTCAAAACGAAACACATCAAAACTTTAACAAGACAAATGATGAACCGTATTCATCATTCAAGTATCATAACATCGGCGAAGCAAGGGATGAACCGTATTCATCAGTCAAGTATCATAACATCGGCTAAGCAAGGGATGAACCGTATTCATCAGTCAAGTATCATAAGCATCGGCGAAACAAGGGATGAACCGTATTCATCAGTCAAGTATCATAACATCGGCTAAGCAAGGGATGAACCGTATTCATCAGTCAAGTATCATACTTTCTCTCTCCTACATATCAATAAATCACTTTTCTTTCACATACATCTAATCAACTTCAACAAAATATCAAATCACCTCAAACTCTCAAACTCTAAAATTATTTTCAAAATATACAATCAAACGAACCAAAAAAAATTTCCAAACTCTTTTTCCAATTTTTTTGTTGTTTTGAAAATTTATCTCAAAACACAAATCAAACACACTATGGAACTGTTTGGTAGGGCTTATTTCTAGCTTATTTCAGCTTTTAGCTTAATTTAAGTTATTTTGATATGTTTGGTTCAGCTTAATAATATAGCTTATAGCTTTTGTAAGTCAAAAATCAACTTATTCTTTGAGTGGGGGAGGAGAAGCTTAATTTATAAGTAAAAAATCAGCTTATGTTCACAGTTATAAGCTATAAGCTGTTAAACTATAAGCTATAATCACTTTCCCACAGCTCTACCAAACGGGGCCTATGTTCGCTATCCATCTATTTATTATTACCTTAGTTTTTTGTTTATATGTCCACTATCCATCTATTTGTCCATGTCACCTATCTGACCGAATGTCATTTATCTATCCATTTATCTGTATACGTGTCATCCTTCTATTTGTCTACATATCATCTATTTGTTCACTTAATCTGTCTATATAACTACCCCCCACCAATTGTTGACCTCAGCCACTTCAACCAGCAACTTTGAGTAAAAATATAGAGATTATTTAATTTTTACCCTTATACTTTGTCATGATTTTCAATGACCCCCCCCCAAACTACTCTTATTTTAACGCGTACCCTTATACTATTTAAGTTACTATCAATTTTGCCCCTGCAGTCAAATTTGAAATGGAAAAAGTTAAAAAAATTATATTTTGGCCCCAAATTTCAAAAGAAAGATGCAGACCCACCTTTTTCCTACCAGCAAATCATCACTAGTAACCATCACTTCAAGCCCTTCTATCTCATTTGTCATAACTCCGTTTCGCTTCATTTTTACATCGTTTGATTCACCTCATAGTCTAGTTTTCGTATCACATCTCACACGTCTTACTCTTCCTCTTTTTGCATGCTATCGGAGCTCCGAAAGTTAATAAAAAAAATAAGACTTGTCTTCTCGTTTTCAACTTTTCTTCGAGCCATCTTTCGGACTTCAAATCTTTCTCGATTCTTGACGGTTCTACTTCATTCTTTCACCATTCTCTTCACCTCACTTTTTACTTCACCTTACACTACCTCGCTTTCTCACTTCTTCGTGTAATGGGCGGTTTTGGTATGGCGAAAGTTGTCTAATAACAAATTTTGAAAATTTCAAAACAATGCCTCCTCTACTCTTCCCACGACACAAAGTGCTCAAATGACATAGTTGAAAGTGATATTCTTCAGGGCATATGCAATATCAACCGTCAACTTCACCAACATCACCACTCAAACCACCACCTTCATTGCCACCGAACTTCATTAATCAAAGTTTTTGACGACTCTGGGCTCTTTTCTTCTTTTGATTATAGTTGTTATGTTGGCAAGCCCCCTACCTAAGTTTTTGTCTATCAATCTTATACGCGACATTCCTCTTGTTTTGACGGTTCTCATGGGCAGCCACTTCTCCCCCAAGTAGTATAGTACCTTTGTGTGTTTTCCTAATTCATTTACCCCGATGTATTGCATTGCTTCCTTTATTCTTTCCCCGCAATCTCTCATGAATATTTTAGTTTGTGAATATTCATATTGTTCCTTACATTTTTATCCCATGCATCTCTTTCGAATGTATTTTGTACTATAAATATCTTAGCCCTCCCAACCTACTTCCTTACTAACTGAAAAAAAAAACCCCTAAGCTCAAGTCACCTAGCTTAGAAAACTAAACGAATAGGACTCATTACTGACTTGCTTGCCAAGCTTACCAAGTAATGAGCACACTGAAGAAGAGTTATTGATAGATAGATAGTTAGACAGAAAGTTTTTCAGGGGCGGTAGTTTGGTGGTTCGGATATATCCACCATGAGCATTACCATCACCACTACCTTATAACACCAAACCCTCCTTTTTCATAACCAAGTTCCATTACCGCCACCATGAGCATTACCATCACCACCACCTTACAACACCAAACCCACCTTTTTCACAACCAAGTTCCATTACGGCCACTATGAGCATTACCATCACCATCACCTTACAACACCATACCCATCTTTTTCACAACCAAGTTCCATTACCGCCACCATGAGCTTTACCATCACCACCACCTTACAACACCAAATCCATCGCCACCACCACCATTACCAGTTCCGTTACCACCTAGAACCATGTTCCACATCATGTTATAAATGAAGAAGAAGAAGAAGAAGAAGAAGAAGAAGAAGAAGAAGAAGAAGAAGAAGAAGAAGAAGAATGAGGAAGATAAAGAAGAAAGAAACAAAAGATGAATGTTTTGAAAATTTTGAAATTAGTTTTCGGACAACTTTCGACATACCAAAATCACCCATTACATGAAGAAGTGAGAAAGCGAGGTAGTGAATAGAAAAGCAGGAAGTGAAGTGAAGAGAATGTCGAAAGAAAGAAGTAGAACCGTGAAGAATCGAGAAGGATATGAAGTCTGAAAAAATGGCTCGAAGAAAAGTAAAAAACGAGAAGAAAAGTGTTTTTTTGTTTTAATCAACTTTCGGATCTCCAATAGCATGCAAAAAGAAGAAGAACAAGACATGTGAGATGAAATACAAAAACTAGACTGTGAGTTGAATCCAACGACGTAAAAATAATGTAAAACGGAGTTATGACAAATGAAATAGAAGGGCTTGAAGTGGTGGTTGCTGGTGGTGGTTTGCTGGTGGAAAAAGGGTAGGTTTGCATCTTTCTTTTGAAATTTGGGGCCAAAATGTAATTTTTTTAACCTTTTTCCATTTCAAATCTGACAGCAAGGGCAAAATTGATAGTAACTTAAATAGTATAGGGGTACGCGTGAAAATAAGAGTAGTCTAGGGAGTCATTGAAAATCATGACAAAGTATAAGGGTAAAAATGAAATAATCTCAAATATATATATATATATATATTTAAAATAATAATTTGTTCTTCTCAATAAATAATTTTATTAGTTATGTTCTTACTTAGCAATATAAAAGATCTACTCTTAGACCAAATACCATATCTCTCATATAAATAGAGTTATCATCAATTATGTCTTTCATTTTCTATATCTTTCTTTTTTGTATGTATCTCAAAGGTACATTGATCTGTAATTAATTAACCTGCACAGTGGTTAGACGTGTAAATATTAATTCTATTTTACTGTATACAAATACCTCTTTGTCAGAATTACAAATACTTCTCAATTAAAAAATTTTATTTAATAGAATTAATTGAAAAAATAAAATTTCTAATTGTTTACCTATATAATAATAAATCATCTGAATTATTAATTGAAATAAAATTTTAATATTATTAAAAACTATTAATTAACTTAATGGTTTATTATTAAAAAGACCTATTTGTTATGAAATTAGAAACCTTAGAGGGCATAATGTAATTTTCAAAACTATAAGAAATAATTTATAATTTAAGTAAAACTCAAAGGGTGTATTTGTAATTTAATTTTTTTATTATCGTTCAAAAAAAATTTTTTATATTAATTTTAAATTTAATAAACGAAGAGATAAGGATTGGAGATGATCTGACGTCGACCCGTCTTCCTTGTGATACCTTCACCATTGTCTAGCCAAGCCAAACTCCAATCAATTTTTTTATTATCGTTGAAAAAAAAAATTTATATTAATTTTAAATTTAATAAACGAAGAGATAAGGATTGGAGATGATCTGACGTCGACCCGTCTTCCTTGTGATACCTTCACCATTGTCTAGCCAAGCCAAACTCCAATCAAAGCCCGAACTGGATTGAAGATCATCTGTTTTTGATTCTTCAAAGCGAAATCATGGAAGCTGAGCTGTTCGAAGACTGCTTGGAATTGATTCTGAATTGATTAGCAGCCGATGACAACAACTTCTTGCAATCCCCTTGTTTGGTCTCTAAGCAATTCCTCTCCATCACCAATCGACTTCGACATAAATTGGTGGCCTCCAACAGATTGTTCTACAGCAATAACTGTGAGGCTTTATTCAGAGCCCTTCAACGATTCACAAACCTCCACGAGATTGAGCTTCATGATCCTGTCATCGGTGACAATGCCGACGTCAATTACCCCATTCGAAGAATCGCTTCTTCCAGGTTGGATCTTCATTCCCTCTCTCTTGAATCTTTACAGAAACCCCCATTACCCAAAACTTTTATGAAATTGGGTTTGACCATGAAGAACTTGAAGATTTTAAGATGTCCTCGGGCCAAGTGTTTTCGAAATCATCACCTTGTTGCCATAGTTGATGCTTTACCATGGCTTGAAGAGCTCGGTATCCAATTTTCCGGCAACAAATTTGATTCTAAAAGCGCAAAGTACATGGTGACAGATGCTGGAATTGAGGTTATGTCACGTAAGCTCCGACGGTTGCGTAAAATTAATATAAGCGGGCAGGTTGGTTGTTTTGATTGATCTCTCATTGTTTTGTTATCAAATTGTGAGCTTTTGGTTGAAATTCATTGTGCTTGTTGCAAAGTAACTGAACATGGCGTTTGTTTTGTACTACGCCATAGTCGAAACTTGATTTCTCTATATGCCGGACCCTTGGGAAAGTCTATAGTACATTTTGTTTAAAAAATGTATGGTACATAGAAAATCAATGGTTCAAATTGAGCCACATCATTAAAAGTGACCTGGTAAGCAGGTCACTTTTTATAGTTATGAGCCAAAATCATATTTGTTCATAACCAGAATCAAATTAATCATAACTTAGTTATGAGCTCTCATCACATATCTCATAACCACATCTCATAACCAGCACCATTTTGTTGATAACCAATATCATATATTTCATAACTACAATCACATATCTCATAACTACATCTCATAACCAATATCCTTTAGCTCATAATCACACCACTTTGATCATAACCAATATCACATATCTCATAACATTAATCACATATCTCATAACTACTACCCATATAACTCATAACCACATCTTGTAACCAATCCCCTTTTGACTCATAACCAACATTACATATCTCATAATCAACACCTTTTTGCTCATAACCACATCACTTTGATCATAACCAATATCACATATCTTATAACTAATAATCACATATCTCATAACCAAACACTCTTGTGACTCATAACTATACCACTTTGCTCATAACCAAAACCACATATCTCATAAACAACAATCATATATCTCATAACCATTACCCACATATCTCATAACCAACACTCTTTGGCTCATAACTAACATTACATATATCATAACCACTAATCACATATCTCATGACACCCTTTAGCTCATAGTCACACCACTTTGATCATAATTAACATCACATATCTCATAACCATTAGTCATATATCTCATAATCAATACTCTTTGGCTCATAACCATACCACTTTACTTATAACCACTAATCACATATCTCATAACCAACATTCTTTGGCTCATAACCACACCACTTTACTCATAACCACTAATCACATATCTCATAACCACACCACACTACAAGAAAAGTGGGCTTATGAGGCGGAACTTTTTGCGACGTCACATTTGCCGTCTCAAAAAATGACTTTTTGCGACGGCACAACTTGCTGTCGCAAAAAATATGACTTTTAGAGACGGCACAACTTGCCATCTCAAAAAATGTGACTTTTTGAGACGGCACAACTTGTCGTCGCTAAAAAATGTGACTTTTTGAGACGGCACAACTTGTCATCGTAAAAAATGTGACTTTTGGAGACGTCAGAACTTACCGTCTCAAAAAAATGTAACTTTTTGAGACGGCACAACTTGCTGTCGCCAAAAAATGTGACTTTTTTAGACGACACAACTTGGCGTCGCAAAAAAATAAAGTATTTGCGGTGATAGAAATTGCTGTCGCAAAAAAAAAAAGAGTATTTGCGACCGTACCAGCTGCAGTCGAAAAAAAAAAAGAAAAAGTTTTTTGCGATCGTAATACGTACCGTTGCAAAAAAAAAAAAGTTAAAAAAAAAATATATATATATATATATATTGTGGCTTTGAGACGGTTTCATATATATATAGTCATAAAATGGTTTAAATAAATGCAATGGTATTTTTCTATTACAAAAAGAAAAAATAAAAAAAATAAAAACGACGTCGTCTTACTCTTTTGAACATTTCTCCTTTCACCCATTTTTTCATCTTTCTATCTCTCTGTCTCTGTCTCTCTTCTCTTTCTCTCTTCTCTTTCTCTCTCTCACTCATAACTCTTCTCTGTCTGTCTGTCTATCTGTCTCTCTCTTTCTCTATGTGTCTTTGTCTCTGTCTCTCTTTCTCTCACTCATCACTCTTCTTTGTCTGTCTGTCTCTTTCTTTCTCTCTATGTCTCTGTCTCTCTTCTCTTTCTCTCTCTCACTCATCATTCATCACTCTTATCTATCTGTCTGTCTGTCTCTCTCTCTTTCTCTCTGTGTCTCTCGTCCATCTTTCTTCTCTTTCTCTCTCATCTCTCTTCTCTCTCTGTCTCTCTTCTCTTTTTCTCTCTCGCTCTCTCGCTCAGTCTCTCTCTCGTTTATCTCTTTTCTCTCTCTCTCTCTCTATATCTTTTCATCCATTTTTTTTATCTTCCTTCATTTCTCTCTTCTCTTTCTCTCTCTTACTCATCACTCTTCTCTGTCTGTCTGTCTGTCTATCTGTCTCTCTCTGTGTCTCTCACTCATCTATCTCTTCTCTCATCTCTTTTCTCTCTCTGTCTCTTTCGCTCATCTCTCTTCTCTTTATCTCTCTCGCTCATCTCTCTTCTCTTTATCTTTTTCCCTGTCTCTCTCGTTCATCTCTCTTCTCTTTATGTCTCTCTCGCTCATCTCTCTTCTCTCTATCTCTCTCGTTCATCTCTCTTCTCTCTATGTCTCTTTTTTGTCTCTCACTCTCTATCTGTTTTTCTTTCTCTCTCTCTCTCTCTCCTACTGTGTTTGCGTTCTTTCTCTCTCTCTCTCTCTCTCTCTCTGTCTCGCTCATCACTCTATCTCTCTCTCTCTCCTCTATTTGTCTCTCACTCATTTATCTCTCTCACCACCCATCTCCTCTACCACCTTCACCACTACTACAAACGCTATTCCACCACCACCACTACTTCCACTGTCGCCACTTCACCTCTACGACTACCATTACTACTGCCATCGCCACCACTTCATTACCACCACTACCACTACTGCCACTACTACTACCATTACCTCTCCTTCACCCCTGTCACTCCATTTACACTACCACTACCACAACTTCACTACTAATCTCTTTCACCATCACCATCATCTCTTATCCACCATCTTCACCACTATTGCCGCTTCCTTTCCTCTACCACAAAAAATTAGTTCATGATTTTTAGTAACAAAAAAAAAAAAAAAAAATAGGCTGCAGAAAAATATTCTAAACTAAGATTTTTTTTAAAAAAAAAATTTGAGGACTTAAATTTGTTAGTATTTTGTATAAATACTCTTAAACGATGGTTGATGGATATTTGTTTTGTTGTATGGACTTAAATCTGTTAGTATTTTGATGGATATTTGTTTTGTATAAATTTCTAGCAAAGGCTATGAAGCCATTTTGTTTAGTGTTTTCGCTCATTTTCGAAGCAAATGCGCAACAGCAAGTGCATATAGAAAATTGAATGCCATTATTCAATCGTCTTTTCCCATAAAATATTCTCTTGAAAATGGCCAAACCATCATTTTAGCTCTGACAATTCTTTGCACAGTAGCATTTGCCACCAAAACGTCAATTGGAACTAATTGGCAGCATGCCTTGTTATTGTCGACCTCTTGTTTACTTTTATCATCGATGTTCTATGATTCGAGAATTTTATTTTTTTCATCTTGAAGAGTTCAGTTGGTACACCCTTCTCAATCTAGGGTCTTGGCCTTTTACAGCAATGAAAAGGATAAAGAAAGGTGACAGGCCTCAGCCCAGATATTCATCTAAAAGCTTATCTCTAAGTTATTAATTCATAGTAGCTATGTTTACTAATGTATGTATATATATATATATATATATTTATCTTGTATTGTAGCAAATGTTTTGGCCCTTGAACCCTAATCTCATTCTCAGCCCAGATATTCATCTAAAAGCTTATCTCTAAGTTATTAATTCATAGTAGCTATGTTTACTAATGTATGTATATATATATATTTATCTTCTATTTTGTATGCAGATTACAAAATGGCTTCTTCCTCTAGTAACAATAGCTACTTAAGATTGATATCAAGATTTTGTGATTATGGGAGAACAGCTGCCATACACATTGTGTGAACCAATCAGAATGGAAATAAAGGGCGTGTGTACTTTGTGTGTCCATCAAAATATGTAAGTACTATGGAAATTTGTTTGCAAATTTATTAGCCTGATTTGATTAACTGATTGTCATGCATTGTAGATTAGTGAGGAACATTGTAATTACTTCAAGTTCGCAGATAATGATGACTACGACGTGATCTCCAATGTTGCACCTCGTACATCTATAAGAAGCGAAGAATTTAACGATCCAAGCACAAGGGTTTATAAGATGGATAATGAATTTCAGGAGCATGGTAGAAGGCTTCGAAAGATGGAGAAGAAATTGAATGCCGTGCTTTATGTGTATTTTGTATTGTTTTATATTTTATAATGTAAACTACTGAGTTCGTAGCTTTTGAGGAATTTGATGGATGTACTTATGGATTGAATGGACTTGATGTATGTCCTTATGGATTGAATGAACTTTATAACTTCAATGGACTTCTATTTTCAATTACTGTTGATAGGTTGAAATTATTGTTGAATTTGTTGTTGAATTATGATGTCAGACATATATGGATTGAATTATGAATTTCTTATATGGATTGAATGGACTTGTTGAATTATGATGTCAGGCATGTTGAATTTATACCAGACATGTTGATTGAATGGACTGAATGGACTTGAATGGACTTGTTGGATTATGGATTATGGATTATGGATTATGGATTGAATGGACATGTTGAATTTATGGATTATGATGAACATGATTATGAATGGACATGTTGAATTTATACCAGACATGTATTATTATGGATTGAATGGACTTGTTTGACTTGTTGACTTTATACCAGACATGTTGAATTTCTTGAATTTCTATAATGGACATGTTGAATTATGAAATAATTATTCACCATTGTAATTGAATGGTCATCCTATAAGGAGACTAAAGAAACTTTTACTTTAGTAAATCAAACATGGCATTAAAGAAATCTACTTATCTGTGCATAGATAACATAGCACAACTGATAGTTCCTTCACTTGGCTTCTTTTAAGGTTTTGTTTCAGGTGTTATTATTAGAGCTTGTTGGCTGCTTTCTAACATTACTTTTTTAAGGAAAAGTGGTGTGGTGACAAGGTTTGGCAGTAAAGTGGAAAGGTGGGGAGGTTCATGAGTGTTATGTTTGTCATATCCTGTAAA